AAGTCCTCTTCACTTTCAGCAAGCAAGGTTGTATCATCTGCATATCTCAGGTTGTTAATAAGTCTTCCTCCAATCCTGACACCAAGTTTTCCTTCATAGAACCCAGCTTCTCGTATTATTTGCTCAGCATACATATTGAACAAGTATGGTGAAAGACCACAACCCTGTCACACACGTTTCCCAATTTTAAAACATTCAGTGTTCCCATGCTCTGTTCGAACAACTGCCTCTTGGTCCAGGTACAGATTTCTCAGCTTGCCTATAAACTCGAATATTAATGTGCAAGAATGCAGATCTAAGCTGGCAGCAAATTGAAGGCACAATGGTGCTAAGACCGTTGTTAAGTGCCATCGAGTTGGTTCCGACTCATAGTGACTCTGTATAGAGTCTCTAGGGAGTGGCTGGTGATTCTGAACCACTGACCTCGTGGTTCAAACTGACCTTGCGGTCCACTGCTTTATCCAGCAATACCACACCAGGCTCAGGATAATACACCTTCTTATTTGAAGATGTTTTTGTGAGAACAGAGACTCCTGGGAGCATGTGCTCAGTTATTTTGGGCAGCTGTCAGTCATAAGGTCTGATTTCCGTGACCTAGAGCAGGCGGTTAGGGATGACAATGGGGATGAGAGATGAATGGGGTCCATTCAGCGCCATTTTTAATAGACTTTGAGAAGTTAGTGAACAAGTCAAGCCATCTACGCCAGGACTGAGCAAACAATAAACAGTTCAGACTCTGTGGTCCTTACATAGGCTTGCTTCCCTTCTCTCCTTCTCATTTGCTGTTTCTCATTTTTCTTTCTTTTCCTCTTGATTTTCCTCTCCCTATTCTTGACCTTCAAAGTGTAAAAACCACTTTTCAGCTCCAGATCATTCATCAGTAGGCCCTGCAGTTCAAACCGACCTTGTGGTCCAATGCTTATCCTACAGCACCACGCTAGGACTCCAATGCCTTGCATGTTGTTATTATTAAGTGTCGTGGAGTTGGTTCTGACTCGTAGTAACCCTGGATAGGGTTTCCAAGGAGCAGCTCATGGATTTGAACTGCCAACCTTGTGGTTCAAACTGACCACACGGT